CTATATATATATATATATATATATATATATATATATATATATATATATATATATATATATATATATATATATATATATATATCCATGGACACTTTATGATATGGTTGTGTCTATATATGTGCTAATACCTGATACCGACATATACCAGGTCTGGTATCTATATATATTGGGACTGATAACTAGGTACTATGTATCGGGTATCACACCTGATAGGCTGATACCTATAGATATCGGGTCTAATCATTGTTAGTACCAGGTACCATATATGATACCTATCAATCAAGTTAGATACCTATCGATATCGGGCCTAATCATTGTTAATATCAGGTACCATACATGATACCTACCAATCAAGTCTGATACGTATTAGTATCAGACCTGATCATTGTTGGTACTAGGTACTAGACATGATACCTATCGATTAAGCCTGAAACTTGTCAGTATCAGATCTAATATGTATCAGACATGATACCTACCAATCTTGATACTTATTGGTATCGGGTCTGATACGTATCGGTAAGGGGGCTGCTATATAACGGTATCTCGTTTTCGAACGAGATGATCCCGAGTAGGTATCAGGTGTAATACCTATCAGGTATCAGATGATTCTACACACGTTTCAGGTGATACCTGCAAGTATCATGTGATACTTATCAGGTATCATGCAATTTTCTACCACGTATCGCGTGATACTCGCAAGGTATCATGTGAAACCTGTTAGGTATCAGATGATTTCAACCACGTATCGCGTGATACTCACGAGGTATCATGCGATACCTGTCATGTATCAGACGATTTCTACCACGTATCACGTGATACTCGCGAGGTATCAGACAATTTCTACCATGTATCACGTGATACTCGCGAGGTATCAGACGATTTCTACCATGTATCACGTGATACTTGCGAGGTATTAGATGATACCTACCAGGTATCAGGTGATTCCTACTAGATATAGTTGGGCATCCCGTTGGGGGAGGAGCACCCCGACACGCGCGGTCGCCCCTAGCAGCCGTCCCTTGTAGATGAGGACGGCGATGGCGGCAGCAGAGGACGGGCGCGGCGACGGCGGCGGTAGCGGGGGACGGGCGTGTCGGCGGTGGGGGATGGGCGCGGCGGCGGCGACAGCGGCTGCGACGGGGGACGGACGCCGCGGCGGTGGCGGCGGGGGACAGCGACGGCGGCAGTGGGGGACGGGCGCCGCGGCGGCGGCGGTGGCCGCGGCGGAGGAGGCGACGGGGGACGGGCGCGGCAGCGGCGGGGGACGGCGACAGCGGCAAGTGAATGTATGGATAAGAATCGCGTGTGGAGAGGAGCTATCCTGTTGGGGGACGGTATCCCGTCCCCTAGCATTCCCGTATCGGTAATAAGCCTGATTATTGTTGGTACATGATACATGACCTGATACGTATTGGTACCGAGTACCAGATTGATCTGATACCTACTTATACCGGGTCTCATCAATCCTTATTAGTATCAGGTACTACCAAATCTGATATTTATAGGCTAGGGACACGGATCAAGTCTAACATATCACCATTCACTGTAGTAGTTTATATGCCATCCACCTGCAACCACGATCGAACTTGTCAAAATCCTAATTAATACAGTGCAGCTGCAAGCCATTTCCATTTTATTGGGACTTGGGATGCGTCCAGATCTGAGTAGAAACAACTAGCTGAGGTTTGATACGCAGCAATTCTACTGACACATTCTGGATAAAAATCCGTAGCTCCTGGATCATCAATGAAAACATTTACTTTCCCGAAACTAAACAAAATGAAGCGAACTCTGGATCAATCAAAACCACCTCTTGCATAAAAAAAAAGTTCCCTAATCCAAAGACGTAGCAACACACCGCATGAATCAACCTCCCCGTGGAGCAGCCACTAGCTGACAGCTGCTGCGCATGGCCTCTGCAAGAAGCTGGATCACGAGCAATGAGAGAAGAAAGAGGAGGTAAGAGAAAGGAGGGACCGAGGGAGAGCTGCCAGGCCACCACGCGAGGAGGAGAGAGCCAATCCCATACGACGGAATCCCGTTGTATAGTTTTTCTGATATGGTATATGCAGGGCCGGATCCAACGTGGGTGTTGGGAGGACTTGAGTCCCCCCTACATCCACAAGACTTATAAGACCCATGGATACCCCGGAGCACCCCTTCGATTTTTTTACCATAAATAATAAACTAAAGGTCCCTAAATAGCTAGAGGTTGAAGAAACTATATAATTGAGCCCTCAAGATTTTGTCCTGGATCCGCCCCGTATATGAGCAAGTATAACCCTATCAGCCTATCATAAATCCCATTATTGACGTTGGTTTCTCTCCTTCAGCTGTCCGACTGCACGTTGCCACAGTACTGCCCGTCTCGACGGGAACTCACCAACCAGCACGTACCGTCACACCGCAGGCCTGACCGGTTTTTTTTGCTTCCACCCAGCCTCGCCTAGGCCCATTGTCAAACCCGTGGATAAAGGAAAAAAATAAAAATATACTGTTCATTGTTTTTTTAATAAAAACTGGATAACGAATGTTTTGCACAAATATTTCACAGACGTGTCGAGAGTATCATCTTCTCTTTCTAATCATGCATATTTAACAGAGAAGCAATCAGACGCGCCGAAAGTGTCATCGTCTCTTTCTAATCATGCACATTTAACATTGAAGCAATCAGATCCGTAGTCATGCATATCTAAAGTAGGGAAAATACTAAAGTTTTTCCTCACCATATTGCGCCACGTCATCAAGTAAATACTGACCATCTGATGAAAGAAAGATTTATTCCGAGCCGTTGGATCTGGATGAGTCTGAATAAAGGAGGCTCAGTAAAATACTATTGTCGCTCCCATCTCTCAGTCAATCAAAGGAGAGGCTTCAGAAAGCTTCCCCCATCTCCCCGTCACTCCCGTCCTTGCTGCTAGGCGCTAACTCCCACCGGCCATTCCTCCCAATCTCTTCTCCCACCGGCCACCATTCCTAGCAAACCATTGCCGACGCAAGGAGAAGTGGACTCTTCTAGAAGCTTCTGAACGGAAGGATCTAGAGTTTTTGTCAAATTCCACACGTAAGTTACGTAGATACGTAGTACAGTTCTTCAATAGGAGAACTAGGCAACTAGCAGAAGAGAATTGAGAAAACTGACGAAAAAAAACGCAACGCTTCCTTGATCTTCACCACACCAACTCACCATCTCCCTATTGGGACCAAGTCAGTGCAGGCAGCACAAGATAGAAGCCCTCGATGCGCTACCATGCTGCTGGCCGCCGAAAACTCATCTTTAGAAAAGATCGACGAAAGGGGGCTAGGTTGAGGAGATCACTCCTCACTCCTCAGTGAAGCCAGCCTCATCCTTCAGACATTCTCCTCCTTTTCAGTGCAAATCCACGGCAGCAAAGGTCGAGCTACAGGCTACCTATAGCAGAGACGAAGGGGACAAGATGCGGTCCTACTCGTGGAGTCGTGGTTGGTCTGTGTATCCCAGAACCCAGAGTCAGATGCAAAAGGGAAACAATGAATAAATGAGTAGGGACGATAATGATGAGGACTGGACGGTTAAATTTTTTTTGACTGTAGGAAAACGTCTAGGGCTAGATTGGTTTGAGATCTAAATTAATCTTACCAATTTTTATAATTTCAATAATATTTAGTGTTTATTTGGTTTGAAATTAAATTTTAGCATGCCTTAAAAAAAGGCCATTTCAATAGTTAACTTAGGTTATTTTGATTTCGATTCAAACACAATTTTAGCTTGCCAAAATTTGGCATGACAAAAATTGATAAAACCTCAAACAGCCCGTAGTGCATCCATCATCAGCATGTCCTGTACATATGTGACCCTGTTAAATGCAGAGAAAAAGGCTATAGGCAGGATGTGTGTTTTAATATGCATATGTAAATAGTGTAGCAAGTATTCTTTTAAATAAATAATTTAGTTAAGTACTTATATGCATATGTACTAATTACTCCCTTTATTCTAAAATGTACTTAGATACAGTGTTACCTTTTTACACAATCTTTTAACATTATACTTTTTTTAGGGAAATTTTAACATTATACTTTAACTACTACTAATTTCTTTCGTTTATTATCGATAACTACGAAATCAACGTTACATAAAAAGATTTAAATAGAAACCTGACGGCACTCCCTTATCATATAGTGATATAAAAATCAAATAAAAATCGACATACATAGCACTAATCATATACTCCTAAACTTTTAGTCCATTCATTAGTCAAATTTTTAAGTTTTGATTTTCCTCAAAATAAGAATGCCATATATATTTTAGAATAGATAGAGAAACACGTTAGTATTTATTTATCATATAATAATGCACTCTCTTTTGTCATAAATATATATCTTTTGTTTTTTTTACCGAACCTTTAAAATTTTGCCCATCAACGAGAACTCAATAACGGGGCACTGTTGGCCTCACCCATATATACATATTTTTACATATCTTTCGAACGGGTCTTAAAAGAGCCATGCAACGCGTGGCTTACATGGCTAGTTTAACCATGAAGCGATCAGACACGCCGAAAGTGTCTTCGTCTCTTTCTAATCATACACATTTAACAGGGAAGCAATCAGACGTACCGAAAGTGTCCTTGTCTCTTTCTAATCATGCATATTTAACAGTGAAGCAATCAGACACGCCGAAAGTGTTCTAGTCTCTTTCTAATCATGCACATTTAATAGTAAAGCAATCAGACACACCGAAAATATCCTCGTTTCTTTCTAATAATGAATGTTTTCTCTGTGCAACCCAGATGGTGCACACCTTTTTTCTATCCTCAAACCCCTGTAAATAATTGAAAGAATAATTAAAAACACCTAAAATCACATTTTACGGTGGATTGAATAACTCCTAATAAATTTTTGGTTTGTGAAACGTGATTTTACAAGCATTAAGTGTGGTAAATCAAAGAAAAACTGCCCCCGAAAATTCAGCCAAAGTTGCAGCGAACGTTACTTGAAAACTGAAAAAAAAATATATATGAAGAGGAAAAAACCCCACGTCGACTAGATTGCATCGAAAATTACAACACAGCGAGCGCGGAGATGATCCGCCGCCGCCACCGCCCCACCTCGCCGGCGCCGCCGCTGGACAACGACGACCTCCTCTCCGAGATCCTCCTCCGCCTCCCGCCGCTGCCATCCTCCCTCCCCCGCGCCTCCCTCGTCTGCACCCGCTGGCGCCGCCTCGTCTCCGACCGCGGCTTCCTCCGCCGCTTCCGCGCCCGCCACCGCAAGCCTCCCCTCCTCGGCGTCATCCAGGTCTGCGCCTACCCCATCTTCGCCCCCGCGCTGGACCCGCCGGACCGGATCCCCGCCGCGCGCTTCTCCTGGCGGCTCGACAACCGCCACGACCTCAACGACTTGCTGGGAGTCCGCCACGGCCGCGCCCTTGTCCACGTCAACACCTGCCGCTATTCTCAGCGCAGGCTCATCGTGTGGGACCCCGTCGCCGGCGACCGCCGCGCCGTGGCTATTCCCGGCGGGTTCCGTGACAGGGGGGTGGTCGTCCGCGCCGGGGAGGTGCGCTGCGTCGCCGGCGACGGCGACCCGGGCCACGTGCACGGCGGCTGCCATTCGAGTCCCTTTGAGGTTGTCATACTAGGCACTAATAAGAATCGGACACACGCGTTCGCTTGTGTTTACTCATCGGAGACCGGCATCTGGGGCAATGTCATCTCAGCCGCAGTTAATTTTGGGGATTGCATATGCAATTTTACTACCTTGGTTGGGAATTCCCTTTACTGTTTGCTCCTAGGTGAGCAGAGGACCAGCTTCTTTCAGTTCGATTTGGATAAACAGATAACAGCTCAGATCGATGTTCCACCCGATATGCATCCTGATGGGAATGGCCACCACAGATTTGGGGATACAATCTGCAGATTTGCGCCTGCAGAGAACGGCGGGCTTCTTTTCCTTGTTGTCACACATTATACTCTCAATGTATGGAAGAGTGAGACCAATGCTGATGGTGTCGCTGGATGGGTGCTGGAGAAAACTATTGAACTGGACAGGCTCCTTTCTTTGGAACCAGGGCCTCAGAAAACGGCACCGATGCTTCTGGGCTTCTCTGAGGAACATAATGTGGCTTTTGTGTGCACGTATATTGGTGTCTCCATGATCCATCTGGAGTCAAAGGAATTTAAGAGTGTTTCCCAAAGAATGAGTCTAATCTATCATCCATTCACTAGTTTTTATACTAAAGGTAATTGCTTCCCATGCCTTTTCCGTTGTACATGTAGCAAAATCATGTTATTTCCAGTAGCTTGCTTTTTCTGAATGCCTTTTATTCGCTCCGTGACAATTAATGTTCCTTTAACTGCTTGATAAACTGTCCTAAATATTGAATGTTGTTTCTAATATTAGTCTCTATCTGTTTTAGCGGGTTTGACTAATTTATGCTTTGAACATCCATAGCTTAGAAGTTAGGACCATTATTACTCATATCAGAAATACTAGAACTAAATTTTGAGCTCCTATTCATTTATTCAACTTGTCTGATGGTAGTATTAATGTGTGCATACTACATGGTATAGTACTTTTTAGCTTGAGTTACATATCACTTTTGAAATTAGCAACAACCATATGGAAAACATACCTGAACCAATAAATTGAAATATCAAATTACCAACACAGTTGGCCCACTTAGAAGGTTCCAAGCTAGGTGCAGTCTTTTTGCTCAATACTTTTATATAAATTATTGACTGTGTTGTTAAATGTATGGCTTTGAATTGTTACCTTTCAACTAATTGATGGTTTTAATCATATGCTGAGAAGTCCTTTTGCAAGTGCGTGCTCCATTTGTAAAAGAGAAGACATAAGTTGAATATGTTTGGCCTAAGTTCTATAAAATTCATTACTGGCTACATCTGTAGTTATAGTTTATTTGCTTTGCCGTATTTTTAGTTTTGTCTGTTTGAGAAGCATGGAATGAACTTGTGAAAGATTATATATGATGCACTTTTTCCTGACCAACTAAATTGTGCAGGGTATAGCTCTTCATTTTACGTAAATGAACAAGTAGTCAGGGAGGTCAACCCATTTTTTATTGCAATGTTGTTACATTAGAGTCTGCAATTGAGAATGGAAACTCATTGATGGACTTGGAAAGATCCAAAATATCTTAAGAAATTAATAACAGTTTGCTTAATTTGTAGTCCTAATTTTTCTTAGGATGCTGGGTGGTGAATCTGTATTTGTGTATTTTCCTGATGTTTCTTCATGGAGTTGTATTTTTGTCCCAGAGTTATTTACTTGCTGGCTGTTTGTATCCACATCTGACTAGTATTAATTAAGAAGTTGGTTTTGTTTCCTGGATACATACTATAGAATGACTATATCACTTCCTGTAAGCGAATTTTTGCCAACATGCGTGTCCTTCATTTGAGTTAGATGTTTTAAGAATTGAGATTTGGCCTGATTTTGGTGTAGCAGGGTTCCGTTTGCATATTCTGCTGACTAATTGTCTTTTGTGTGCTTATTGATGGCAGAACTGTCGCCCCACTGATGGATGATCATGTAATTTGACCATGGAGATCACAAGAGCGCCATTCCTGGTGATTTTCGTGAGTTTTAAGATGGCTAACTATATTTCCCAAGTATTACCAAGTCGGATATGATATTCGTTGTCAGTCCTAGCAGGTTTTGTACGGTCACATGTTCCTAATACTTGGATCGATATAATTTAGCGACAATAATGTAAATCATGTTCAAGTGCTGCATAGATACCTTCATCTGCAATTCGGTATTGTCGCCTGTGTCTGGAATTGTGATGTCACATAATAGCAGTCATTATTCTTGCTCCTGTGAATGTGCTCTCTATCCCGTTCAGGAAAACTGAATAATCACCTCACTTTGGCGTAGATACTGTGTTATTTGTGTTTGGCTTGACTGATGGTAGGTCAATTGGACATAGGCGCAACAAGGTGCAAAGTTTTCCTGAAATAAAAGAATGAATTGACTTTGTTGTCAAGTTTATCACCAAGTAGTGCTTCTGTAATATGCATGCCACTGGTTGAGTAGCCACTAGAAAAAAAAAACAAAACCAATGTTTTTTCTGAAAAATTGACCCTGTGCCACAAAGTTGATTGGTATTGAAAAATCGCCCCATAGTTGAGGCGATTGCCCTCTCTTTTGCCACAACACCATGTACGTTCCCTTTCAAATTTTCTCCCTTCTTCCTCCATCTTCCTATGCACGTTGCCAAGCTCCACCGATGACGCATTCAAGCTTCGCCGGCGCCACCCTGCTCCCAAACTCTGCTGCATCCTCTCGCCATCACCGTCGATACCGTCGAGGCTGGTGGCAGCGTGGGCACGATGGGCGATGTTGATGGGAACGGGTGGCTTGGTAGAGACTTCCACGTAGGTGAGAAAGGTCATGAACACGACGGCATGGCCTAGTTAGACGTATAGAGAAAGAAGATGAGAATGGAGGGAAAAGAGGGGTAACTTTGGAAGTCCATGTGTTGGGTATGTTGTGCCAAAAGAGAGCGCAAGCTAGCGCCTCAATTAAAAGGGGGGTAACTTTGGAAGTTCATGTGTTGTGTATGTTGTGCCAAAAGAGAGCGCAAGCTAGCACCTCAATTATGGGGCAAAAAATGGAGCGCATAGGAGATTTTTCATGCCTAGCCACCGTGTTGCCTAAAGAGGTAACTCGGGCGACACCCCAAACCTAGCACCGCTCCTCCCCCTACCCATCACCCTGCCTTTGTCGCCGTCTAACCAGCATGTTGGGAGCACGACAAGCAACGAGGAAGGTGGCAGCGGGGCAATCCCACCCAGAGACCTTACGAGTAGAGAAGATGCTGATGGCGGCAACTTGGGTGGTGCGAGTGTAGCTGGTGTTTGGAAGCATTCAGATCCACAACTAGTTAGGCTAGATCTAGTCGGTTCGTCTTACTGATGCTTGTGCTCATGAGCACGGCGAAGGTAGGCAGATCTGGCACATCCATTACAAGATCCGCGGATCTAGTGGCGTCATGGCATCCGCAGCTGCAGGTAGAGGTCTTCTTGGAGGTTCGGGGGACCGGCAACGATGACTTCAGGATGGAGGCCTACGAAATCTTCGGTCTGGTGTAGCCAGCATGTGGAGGCATGACCCTGCGGTGATTTGGTTACAGTAACGATAGTGGCTTGGGCGGTGCTGACTTGCGCTATCGATGGTGTTGGACCAAATCCATGTGCGAGAAGGCAACTGTGCTTGGCCTCGTGGCAATCTGTCATGTGGTGATGACAACAACATGGGCGGTGCTAGCCGGCGAGGTCGATAGCAAAGGACAAACTACACTATGGGGAGAGCGTTGTGCTCGGCCCTTGCGGTGGTTTGTCTTGTGGTGACAAAAATGACATGTTGATTTGGGGTGATGCATGAGGTGGGTGGAGGGTGGCCTGTAGAGGGACAATGGGTCATGATTGCAGGGGTTGGTAGGCTGTAGCCTGCATGTGTAAACCTATCCTAGTGGTTTGTTGCGTCAGTAACACCGACACTTTTGAGTGTCTTGTTACCTGATGAGGGCATTGTTGAGGCACCTCCCCCTGCCGCTGGTGGGACACTCTAGGTAAAAACCATATCCAGTTCATTAGATGGGCAGTTGCGGCACTATGGCATCACATCCTCCCTGGAGGCATCATCTAGGAGGTCTCGTTCCTGCCTTTCCCACCTCCAAATAGTTTAGCCAACGCTTTTGAATGGCGGTGGGTTATACGAGGGATGCACGGATCATCGTCTCTCTCGCTCTCTCGCCCTTCTTCACAGGTGGTGTCCATGAGGCCATTTTGTTTCTTGCTGTTTGGAGGTGGTGAACGGTATAGGGGTGGGTACGTTATAGGTTTGGTGGCGTTGTTATGCATAGTGGCAGGCGGGCGGTTCTAATTAAATTTAGGTGTGCGTAATGCCGTCGGTGCGTGGTGGTCCTATTTTTTTTTTCTTTTGCCCGATTATAACATCGTAGGGCTATAGTCTTGTGATTTTTTTTCTGCTATATCAATACAAAACACCATACTCTCAGGTGATGTTCATTCAAAAAAAAAAGAACTAAGGTGCAAATTTGCAACATCAATCAGCCTTGTGGCAATTGTGAGTACACTCTTCGACTTTGTAGCATAAGAGCAATTTTTATTTTCTGATATTAATCGAAAAAAAATGTGAGCATGCACCTGTACTAAGTAACTTTAAATCTAGGTGGGCCAGTTTCACAATAGCCTAATCATGAGATGCCCATTTGATCGAATTAATAACAGAAATGGCCATTTTAGACACCCCAGAAAAAAAAAAGATAAAGAAAGATAAATAAACTTGCCAACTATAGGTTGTTGCATATCCAATGAAAATATATTGTGACAATATGTACTTTCGTAGAAGTATAGTTTTATATATATTTATGCTACCATACTATAAAAATAATATCATAAAAACTATTCCCTCCGTCTCAACATATAGCAAGTAGGATGGGCTCGTCTTAGCTATATATTGGGACAGAGGGAGTGCTGTCAAATGGACAACTGCGTCACGTCGAAGGACGTGGTTGCTCAACAGTGTTGGAAAAGCAATAAGTGTATTGATTGATAAAATTTCTTGGGATCCCCCATTACATGGCCCTAGGGGTCTATTTATAGCCTTAGCACAGGCTTACACCTCCTAGGGTTTAGGTTTACAGGGGATTTTACATGGTTGCCCTTATAAAAGGGATATTTACATGGGTACACAGTGTCATTTGCATATATGGGCCTTTAATGGGCCGATAGGCTGGGCCTGGTCTATGGTGAAGGGGCCTTAAAGGTCGGGGGCAGCCTGCTGGGCCTCCTTAATGCCGAACTCGTCATGGCGAAGTCTTTGTAGTTCGCCGTATGCCCTTCGCCCGAGATGCCTTCACCCGAGATGCCTTTACTTGCGGAGTACCGACGCGGCTTTCCAGCCTTCGCCACCTTCGCTTATGGCTTTCGCCATAGGGCTTCGCCCGAATGGTCTTGACGTCTTTGACTTGAATCCTTGCTGGTACTATGGTTTTGGTAGGTCCGGCCGAAAGGCTTCATGGAATGCCTCCAACAAGCCCCTCATGGGCAAGGGTGAGTAAGGAGCTTCGGCCGAGACCGTGCAAACTATACAGTATGGCATGAGGCGCCCCCTTTCGGCCGACGTTCCTGCCGAAAACTCTTTTTAGACTCCTGCAGAAAAAATATGAATACTGGCGTTCGCCTTTCGAGAATGGTGAAGCTTTATTATGACACTGGGTGATTATATTTTGCCAAGTTTGTCTGCTTTGCGCGATTCTTGACTTGTATTTTTTCCTTCCCCTTTTCCCTATTGCTTTAGCGGGGGTTTCGCCGAAAGTCATGCGTTCAGCCCCCTTTTGAGGATTGGCGAAAAGATTTGTTGACTTTTCAGCTTTCGACTTCCGTTTTTGACTCGTAGCATTTTGCGCTAGGAAAAACGCTTGTGTTTTGCGTAAGTCAAATGTAACGGCGTTCGGTATCTTTATTCCAACGTTCGTGATTTCAACGTTCGGCGAGCGATGCCTTGGCCGATTCGTTTTCGCCTTTTTATGGCGAAGCTGTAGCTCCTTTTCTTCTTTTTTTTTAAAGTATGTGCTTTCGCCTGATGGAGCTTATGTGTGTTTCAAATTTCTTTTTGCTAATGTTCGCATAGTCACTTTCGTGCTTTCGTTAGGTCGAAACATGTCGGCCCCTTTGCGTAATTTAGCGAAAAGATTTGTCGACTTTTCAGCCCTCATCATTCGCTCTCGACTTTTGGCATACGCGTCCAGAAACGCTTAAGTATTTGCATAAGTCGAGTATAACGACGATCGGTATGTTTTCCGAAAACGAGCTGTCGCGGTTTCAACGTTCGGCGAGCAGTGCTTCGGCCGGTTCGTATCGCCCCCCCGGCGTTTTCGTTGATCAAACGATTGCCTTGGGGTTTTTCCACGAAATATCATACACAAAAAAGGCGAAGACACCTATGAATTTTTATATGTCCGAGCGCCAGTTTGCCATTGCCCAGCATCGATACAGCATAGTCCCCGTTTTTCCTTCTTCACCGCTTAAAAATTTTTGTTGATCTAACAACTAGCGATGAAGAAGATGCTCAAGGGGTAGTCCTTCGCCATTAAGGACAGCTTTTGCTGATGAATCGGATCTAAAGTCCGAATGTTTTTGGCGGGCAATGGAATTAATCTGTAACTTGTGCTTTTTTGGCAAATAAATGGGGTGTGGTGCGTGTTACGGCTGTTCGGCTCGTACTTTTCCCTTTTTTCCTTTGGCAAAGGTATTTTTAGGTACTTTGATCGTTTTGACCGTTGCCGGCTTTCGGTCTTTTTGCACTTCGACCTTTTTAACCGTTACCGGCCTTCGGTCCTTTTAGGTACTTCGACCTTTTTAACCGTTGCTGGCTTTCTTCATTTGCCTGCAGCGAAGATTACCCTTGGCGAATTAGCCCTGAGCCCTTGGCGCCGTACCTCATTGGTACTGTGGCGAAGGGTGTGGGTGTGGCGAAAGGTGTCCAGAGGCTAGGTTGGCTTCGCGGCCCCTATTTTCGCCTCTGGTCCTAACTCATTTTCACCCCTAGCCCTTGGCGCCGTACCTCATTGGTACTATGGCGAAGGGTGTGGGTGTGGCGAAAGGTGCCCAGAGGCTAGGTTGGCTTTGTAGCCCCCCCAGCTTAGACTTAAGTCATTTTCGCCCCCATCCCTTGACGCCATACCTTATTGGTATTGTGGCGAAGGGCCTGGGTGTGGCGAAACCTATTCGCCCCCAGCCCTTGACGCCGTACCTTATTGGTATTGTGGCGAAGGGTGTGGGTGTGGCGAAAGGT